CTCCACTATTAAAAAATAATTCAATATGCTAATGAATCAGTTATAATCCTTTAAAAAACTCACTATTTATATTTTAGAATATTCACTTTCAAAGGAACTGTTTCTTACAAGAACTGGAAAAAAAACAGTCATTAAGGACTCTGAAAATTCTAAAATTGGTACTGATCATAAGCTCTAGAAATTGAGTTAGCATGTGTTTGAAAGCAAACTTTGTTTCAGAAACACCATTTGTTTTTAGAAAATGTAATTTTACTCTATTGATGATTTTGGCACCAGATTAAGTATATTTCCAAAATCAGGAACCCTTCCTCTGGAAAGCACTCTCAAGATACTTTTTAGAAGCTTAGTATAAATGTAGATATTTCAAGGTGAATCTTGAAATCCTGACATACTAAAATAAAACATCTCATACTTCAAAGGGCTGAAATGTAATTACAGATGTTATGGAGGGAAAAAAAGTGAAATAGCAAAAAAGAAGTGTACTGGCTGTGTGATACTGCAACAAAACAAAAACACCAGTGCAACCCCTTTTAAACCAAATGTTCCGGATGCTGCTTATGTCCAGGTTCTCTCTAAGGAGAAAAAAGCATGCAGCATTTCATCCTGCAAGCTTCTTATTTATTTCTTAGAGACACAGGGTAGTGAGGTAAAAATGCTTTTTCCATTTTAAATCTAAGATAAAAAGTTTTCCTGAAAACTAGATCAAATCTGCCCTAATGTTCTTCATCAGCTTACCTTTGGCATGATGAGTTCACGTCTAAGAATTGCATACTTTGTTTATACATGTGGAGAGAAAAACAAACATAGGGCTTGGGAAAACAAATGAAGGTAACAGAAAATTTTTCCCAATAATTTTGTATTCTTTCAAAAACCTAAATTTCATGAGCTAGTAAAGAATGTGAAGATATTTATATTTCTTCAAAATCTACATTCTGTATTATATAATGTCCTAATCCAACTTAGAAAATGGATTCATATGCATATTACAAGAGTATTTAGAACAGACTGCTGGATTAAAACGTGTGTAAGACAAAGGTACTTTTAACTTGAACTGACCTTTACATTAAATACAAAGCCGCTGATTGAATAAATTCAATTGTAATAAGAATTTAATTTTGAATTCACTTATGTAGTAAAACTGTTCCAACTACCACCTTAATATTAATACTTATAAAACCAAAGAAATCCGGTACAAAAATAAAGTTCTTACATAAGATGGCTGATTTTATATTTGAATTCCTGACTCAGAGTGCCCTCTATTGGAAGAAAAGAGGCAATAAAAGTTACACTGACCTAAGAGCAAAAATACTCCCCAAATTCAAGTCACACCACTAGTATGTAAATACATTTGTGAATAACGGGAATGCTACAAAACATGTTTTCCTTTCATTTTATCTCATCTGAAATACTTTTGGAATTATTTTTCATATTACAATGAACAAGCCGATATTTAGTACCATCTTAAACACTGTGAACTTGGAAAGTCATTATAGCTCTCTGTGTGTGTGTTTCCACTTTCTCATCTATAAAATGGGAAGAATACTACAATCTCAGTAGTATTTTGAGTTCTCAATAAGTGGTAGGTATTATCTTTACTTATCCAACTTTATTTTCAAGTATTTTCAAAACCAATTCTCATAGTAAACCATTCTCTTCAAATTATATGCTAATTTTTTCCTATATGCTTTTCAATACGTTGTCTTTTAGGCTGAAACCTCTCATTCATTTCGACACAGGTATAAGGCACATTTCTCCTTCCTCCAGGACTCCATTTCAGTCCCTCCTTACCCATAAATGTAGCTTTCAATGAATACCTATAAATCTTCACTTATCTCTCCCTTTAAAAAAATTTTTTTCCTTTGGCCACAGGATACCTTACAATAAGAAATGTAGCTGGGAATTTAAAAATTGACTCTGATTTTAATCCTCATATGCCACTTACAATATGAGTCATTTCCTAAATCTATAACTTCACTGTTAGGATTGCTTAATAGGGCCTAAGTTATGTACAGCACTAGAATAGGAAATACCAAGTACCCACTAAATGTCAAATGGTAATATATATTTGTTTTATATGTTAGTCTTAACTATATTGAAGACTCTGTGAGACAGGCATTTTGAAATCAAGAACCATATTTCATTTTGATCTTAAAAATCTATAACTCCAAACACAGTAATAACCATCTATATTAAGTGCTTCATTAAGCTTCCTGCATAATTTGAGAGGATAATTCAAAACAATATTCCAGAAACACATTTTTGATGAATGGAAATAAATATATACAACTAAACAGGGAATAAAAACAAACAACACAGGTTATAGGGAAGGGCCAATGTAATTGGATTACTTTCTAAACATTCAATAACAAGTTTCTAAAATATTCATCTTCTGAAAGGCCAGTTCCATTGATGTCTTTTATCTGCCCAAAATCCCTTAGATTTTTCTCATTTCCTAAAAAATAAATACCAAAATTCTTAGCCTGACATTCAAAATTATCTATGACCTAACCTTACCTAGCCTTCTAATCTTATCTTTCATCTTTCCCCTTTCTAAATTCTACTACTTCGAATAAATAAATACTAGCTGTTAATATCATATATATTATCTGCTTTTCTGCCTTGGGTGACTTTTAATGTTTTCTATGACAACAGTTGCAAAAGCATTATAGGTTGTCATAGGAACAAAGAAAGGGTAGTGTAGGAACATATGGGTTCAAATTTCAAGGAGTTAAATTCAATTTATAAACAATCTTTCTCTTGCCACTATCATGATACAGTCTTCTGCTTATTAAAAAAAAAAAAAAAAAGCCAGAAAAGATTTTGGCCATCTCTTCCCCAAACTATCACCTTCTCATTATCAAAAGATCCTCCTATCGCCTCCTAAAAGTTTCTATCATGGTCTCCAAACAGAATGCACAGACCACAGAGAACATAAAATACTGATTAAAAGAAAAAAATTACAGCTTCTATTCTTCTATTCCTTGCCTTCCTCATTTTGAATTTACTGGATAATAAATATCTCATAATTCACACCATATATTGTTAGGATAGTAATAGGTACACATAATTTGTAAACAAATACATTAGGGATGTGCACTCAAAATTTCTTTACTAAGGGTATATACAAAAAGAAAGGTTTAGAAACAACTGGTCTAAAAAATTAGGATTTTTGGAATAGCTTGAAAAGTTTTTGTAAGTTTAGAAATAAAGAGCAAGAAGATACCAGTTTAGAGAATGAGAGTCTGAATATAACAGATATAAAATATCTAATATATTAACAGATATAAAAATTCAAGCATCATGCATCAGTTTTGCAGGACAAACGTGTTTTAAATTCTAAGTAATAAATATGTTTTAATTTATAAGTGACTTTCAAAAAATGCTAAAATGCAACTGATTTGTAATTTCAAGATAGATATCATCTATTTTAGATTTCAAATGGAATTTTGTCTAACATCATAAGCATTTCATTAATATAAAATTTTTATTTTGTAAAACCTGTAAGTATTCATGTAAAAATTACTTTTTAACTATTCATAAATAATTTGGCAGGATGGTTAATAATATGATGCCTTACAAAATACAGTGCAGAAAAAAAAGGAAACAAAAAAAAAAGGCAGGCATAGGAGGTAAGTTTAGCCATGGAACTAGATTAGCAAATGTATTCAGGGAAACAGTGCCATAACTTATTTAAGTAACTACATGAAATAAATGTTCTCAAAATAAATATGGATAGGGGTTGGGGCTGTGGCTCAGCAATAAAGCACTTGCCTGGCATGTGTGAGGCACTGGGTTCGATTCTCATCACCCCATTTAAATAAATGAAATAAAGGTCTATGAACAACTAAAAAAATTTATATATATATATATATATATATATATATGGATAGTCATTATGCTTCATACTCTTTTAGTTTTCATAAATAATACGACATACTTAACACAGTCTATTATTGGCTTTTGTATAAAGTATAAAGTTTCTCTAAAGTTCTAAAAGTGAGTAAATGGTTTATATCATAATAATGTATTTTCTTTACTACTAGTAGATACTATCAATCCTTCCTCTATAGGACAAAAGTAGATTTATAAATCTTAATTTTAAGTTGATTGATTCTCTACAGTTTTGCTTGTTATTGTGTGTATATAAAAATCCATCATGAAGGCTGGCGATGTAGTTCAGTGGTAGAGCACTTGGCTAGCACATGTGAGGCACTGGGTTTGATTCTTAGGACCACATAAAAATGAATAAATTAAATAAAGGCATTGTGTTCATCTACAACTAAAAAAAATTTTAAATCCATAATGAGGGCTGAGATTGTGGCTCAGCAGTAGGGCAGGCGCTCACCTTGCATGTGCGAGGCCCTGGGTTCGATCCTTAGCACCACATAAAAATAAATAAATAAAACAAAGGTATTGTGTCCAACTACAACTAAAAAATAAGTATTTAAAAAATCCATAATAAACAAGAATCTCTAACTCATACTTTAGATTCTGAGCTCATAAGGTAGAATCCCCTTGGGATTTGCAGATTTTTTAAATATACAGATTCAACTTTCCACATCTTTCTCCTACTATGACTTAAGGAGTGACTGAGGAGCTAGACACATGGCTTGGCTCTCTCAATCTTTTTGAAGAGGGATTAGACTTTTTTTATAGAGAAAATGGGGAATATTGACAAAGGGAATTTGCTTTGGGAACCAATAAAATTATGCTCCATAAAACTAAATGAACATAACTAAAGAAATTATGACTCCAAGTATTATGAGAGTCTGACAATAGAGAGACCATCACAAACTATAAGTTATACATCAAAGCATTTCTTCCACTGCACATTCAATGAGCATAGAACCCCAATGAAAATTAGAGAAAGACAAAGAGAGACTGGCATTCAATAGTGGTGGAATCTGATAATCTAACAATGACCAAATCCCATGCCATTTACGTGTACATACTGAACTACCAAAGACAAACACTTTGTCTTCATTTCCCCTCTTACTTACTACACTCTGGCTTCCATTTTTCCCAAGTTCTTCCTCTGAAATCTTGCTCAAGTTATCTAAGTAGTGATCTGATATTGTATGGCACAAATCTTCAAAAGAATAATCCTTTTCTTGACAGAGCTTTATTTCATCCAAGAGTTTTGATAGTTCTCCAGTCACAGTTTCACCTATAAAAAGATAGTAATTTTATCAGATTTGAACAAAGATTACTGCTGAAACTTAACATCAAATAATAAAAATCTGAAAACTCAAAATATGACAAATGAGAATAAGTAGAAGGTATTAAACTATAACACAAGAATATTAACAAACAAGAGATTCCAATTTTGCCTGTATTTATTCTTTCTCAAATAGAAACAAGAAAAAGTTTACATAGTTGTAATACATAAAACACCTGGAATTATAATTCCTATAGCTTTATTTATTATAGGAATTAATTTTTCAGTAATCTTTTACTGGCACTTTACCTCACTGACAGAATCATCTGATGATTTATTAACAAATTTGAAATTGTACTGAGAGCCTACTTCCTAGCTTCAATAAACATAAATAGAACTTTAAACAAAAAAAATTAGAAAAGTAGATAATCATAACTTAAAAATGATATAAAGAGAAAACACAGAAGGAACAAATAACTAATACATATAACCTGCCAAACATGAATATTTCATAGGTTACATGCAAATATTAACTTTTCTTAGCAGTCTCAGAAAAGTAATTATTCCTCTAATTATTCTGAAAAACATTTCAAGCATTTATACTATAGATCTTATTGTTTTTATTCTGAAATAAAAATATATTTAAGATCAGTTAACCATATATGTATGGGTTTATTTCTGGGTTTTTAAATTGTTTCATTGGTCTGTGTCTGTTTTTATACCAGTACTATGCTATTTTTATTACTATAGCTCTTCAACAAGTGTACCAAGAACTGAAAATACATAAAAAATGGTCTCTTTAATAAATAGTGTTTAAAAAATGGAATATATATATATATGTGTGTGTGTGTGTATGTGTGTGTGTATCTCACATAAAATTGTACCCTTATCTTACACCATATACAAAAATCAATTAAAATAAATTAACTTAAATGTGGAAATTGAAACCACAAAACTCTCAGAAGAAAACACAGAGTAAAAGCTTCTTGACATTAATCTGAACTATGATTTCTATTTTTGATACAATAGCAAAAGTATAGATAACAAAATCAAAAATAGACAAGTAGGACTGGATCAAACTAAAAAGTATCTGTACAACAAAGGAAACAATCAGTGAAGTAAAAGGGCAACCTAAGAAACAGAAGAAAATATGTGCAAATCACAGATCTGATCGGGATTAATATCCAAAATGTATAAGGAACTCAAACGTCTCAATAGGAAAATATCAAAAACTTGAATAAAAAATGAGCTAAGGTCCTGAACAATCATTTCTCCAAAAAAGACATGCAAATGTGTCAACAGGTATAAGAGAAGGTATTCAACATAATTAATCATCAGGGAAATGTGAATCAAAACCACAATGAGATATTACCTCACATCTTTCTTAACAAAAAAAGATAAAATGAATGTTGATAAGACTGTGGAGAAAATAGTGGAAATGCAAAATGGTATTGCTATAATCAAAAATTATATGGTTCATTGTAGGGCATGGCTGCCTGCTTCCTATTCTTGAGGCCGCACATGTGGCTGGGAGGGCTCCTGGCAATCAGCCAGGAGGCGGTGCTGTGGGCGGTGATGGAGGAGGTGGACCATCTCCAGGATAGGTCCAGGACTCTTTCGCCCTCGTGGACAGCTCTTGCCTTCCCTTACAGACTATGGAATGGGTGTACACATGAACTTGCTCCACCGCTCTGACCTTTATTCTGATTGGCTCCTGTGCAGTATATAAGCTGTGTGTACTTCCTTATTAAATGAGATCCTGCTTTGACTGTTCTCCCTGGCACTTCTGATTGTCCTCCGGGGAGGGAAGGAGGGAGGGCTGGGTGTGGGCGGTTGGGGTCTGCTTTCCCCGCTTCCCCTGGGGGGGGGGGGGGGGGCCTAAAAACCCCCACAGTTCATCAAAAATTTTAAAATAGAACTACCAGTGATCCCACTTGTATTTATTCAAAGCAAATATAATAATAACTTTAAAAGAGATATGTGTGCCCCCATGTTCATTGCAGCATTATTTAGAATAGCCAAGATATGGAAATAACCTAAGTGTTTATTGTTAAATGAACTGATAAAGAATATATTCTATGTGTGTGTGTGTGTGTGTGTGTGTGCGCACGCATTTGCACATAATACTGTCCATATTGTAATCCAGTGTCCTTTACTCTAAAAGAAGGACATCCTATCGTTTAGGACAATATGGATAAAACTGGAGGACATTTTGCTGAGTGAAGTAAGGCAGACACAGAAAGACAAATACTGTATGATCTCAATTATATGTAGAATCTAAAAATGTCTAACTCATAAATGCAGAGAGTAGAAAGGTGGTTGCCAAGGGATGGAGGGTGGAGATAATGGAGAAAGACTTATCGAAGGGTTAAAAATTTAGATAACAGGGGAATGAAAAAGTTCTGGAGATTTAATGTATAGCATGGTGACTATAGTTACTAATATTATATTATATACCTGGGATTTCCTAAGTTAGATCTTAAGTGTTCTCACCACTTTAAAAAAATTAACTATGTGAAGAGATAAATTTGTTAATTAGCTTTATTTTGATAATTAATTCACAATGTATTACATATACAACATTATATTGTATGCTGTAAACATAAACATAATTTGTTAAGTAAACCTCAATAAATCTAGAAAAAACAGATCTATTTTAAAAAGCTATAAAATATTACTTCATATGAACTTCATTACAGCAGGGGCTGCAATCTGCTTTGTCCACTGCTGTATGTCAGGGCTGCAAATAGTCCCCAGCGAGTAGTAGGGACTGTATAAATTTTGACTGAATAAATGTATAAAATATAGAGAATAGGATATGACTCATATGAGGTTTTCACAACTGATAGCCTTCTTATGCATACGTGACAAATTTGGACATACAAGTGTAATATAGTTTCAAGGCTTTGTAATTAGATACTCACTTTTGGTCTTTTGGGAAGGAGATTCAACAGGAGATGAAATGTGGGTTTCTTGTGTTGTATCTTCCTGTACATGCTCTTCAAGGGCTGTTGCTCTTCCCACGCCTTCTAAATATTCTGTGTATATATGTTTTTGAGATTACATACTTGAATTCATTTATGTTAAAAATCAAAAAGTAAACTTTTTTTTTACTTCTGATGATCCATTTTCCATTTATTTCCTCATATCTTAAGTATATCTTAAGTTTTCAAAGAACTTCAAAAAAACCATAAGAACTTCGTGATGTGTCATTAATTTGAGATCTTTAAATACAAAAGATACTTTGGGAAAAACTCATGAACCCTTTATTTTGAAAACTAAACTTATCCCATTATTTTCTTAAAATATATCTAAGGCTGGGGATATATAGCCCAATGGCAGAATGCTTACCTAGAAAGCATGAAGCCCTGGGTCAATCTCCAGTACCATACCAAATAAATAAATAAATAGAAAAATAAGTAAGTATAAGTAAATCTAGATGGATTTAATTTAAACTAGGATGTAATAGAATCCTAGTTTCCTTAAAATTTTTCAATCTGAAGGTTTAAAGCTCTCTGAAAGATACTTTGAATAGACCTGACTATTCAAACATTTCTGTTCACCTCTATTGAACAGAGATGTTCAATTCAGATGAATTCAATCACCTATCAGGTGATGTGAATGAAATTGGGTAAGTTTATTTCATAATAGTGTTATAATCTTTCAAGGTAGGCATAATTTGCATATTTAATTTTACTTCCACAAAGTAAATTCATTCCTATTATTCTTGGAGTTATGTCCCACACTCATTTTTACTTTTTTTTTAGTATTTTCGGTTGTCAATGGACCTTTGTTTTTTATATGCGGTGCTGAGAATCAAACTCTATGCCTCACACATACTAAGCAAGCACTCTACCATGGAGCTACTATCCCAGCTCCATCATTTTTCCTTTTTTGATAGACATAATAATAATAATAGCAGTTAAAACATAAATACTGCTTACTATGCACACAATATTTGATATACTTAGAATCAAAGGACAATTCTACTGGACAAATTCTACTGGAAAAGAAAGCAACCTCTGGAATTCTGTCTTCAAAATTTCTGAACAATGTGGCAATTATGTAAACTGAATGACAATTTTGTAAGGTAGTAACTTTATCTATAAATTTTACTAAAAATTGGCCTTATTTTGATATCAAATTCTTTCATTAGATTTAAAATACAGCAGTGATGTGAAATCAAGGAATGTAAAAAATATAATATGTTTACATTCTGAAATTTGCCAACAATTTGAAAAATTTTAAGGGTGTCTCATATCCCTATTACAAACTCACGTATCTAATGACCCTTCACCATTTAAGGGAGCAGAGATAAGTTACTCCTATATATAATAACATATTCATGAGCCAGTGCAGTATGTTAAAAAAATGTGTAAAATTATGTCATGACCTCTTTTTTGTGGGAGACACCGTATTTTACTTCTCCCAAAGGGCACAAGGCTCAATTTTGATGTTTTGTTATACACAAGCTTCAGTTTTTTTGTGTTCTTAAGTTCAGCTAGACGCAACACAAGTGCCTTCAGGAGAAAAGGGATAAAAATTATGTGTACCACTTTTATTTTTTAGTTTTCATTCAACTTGATTTTAGCTTGAATTTATATGAAAAGTCATACTTGGATTCTCTGATTCATCTCTGTATGTATTTGACTTGCAATTAACTTCTTTATTGACAAGAAAATTGTAGGGACTTAAACTTCCATGAAAGGTTTTGGAAATAGAAACAGACTATAATGATCATTTATTCTTTATACCCCTCTTTGACCTTTGTTGACTCCTGTTTTTACATGTCCCCTGTCCTAGTTGGTTTTAAATCATTTATCTTGCTGCAAGTATAAAGGTTGTTAAGTTTCCCAATAGACTTCCAGTGAAACCTACTCCTCTTCATTCCTCTGTTATACACTGCTGACCAAGTAGAAGCCTATTAAAAAGGGCAAAAAGAACATCTGGATTTTTAATGTGACATGCTACATGCCAAGCCTAATCATCCAGCAAATGAGAACACATTTAAATCTAAATTTCTCATAAAAGTTTTAGATCAAATAGAGAAGTATACTATATAATTCTGCAATAAAAACTAGTACCTAAATAGTAGTCAAATCTTTGAGAAACCAAAACTGGAACTAACTACGAATGTTCTAAATGACCTTTATCAAAAACAAAGATTAGCAAAACTGAATTATCTTGTACTACTGGATTAGGAAGGAAAGAATTCATGTTCTTTCAGTTAAATACAATTTTTGTTGTTGTTAATCTATCATTTATGTACTAGCTCTGCCATTTAGCATAGCATATATGAATTTAAGCAAAACAATCTCTCAAGGCTTCTGCTTGCTTTATGTACAAAAAAGCAGAATAATATCTGATTTATCTGCTTCACAGAGTCATAGAAATCAGACAAAATGATAGAAAATCTCTAAAAAATCATTCACACATAAGATAATACTTAATCATCACTTTATATAACCTATTAAATTCAATTTCATCACTAAATATTTATTAGATGTTTTAAAAGGATTTTAATAATAAATAGTAAATAAATACTTCAATTTTTTAATACTAAGTACTTGGAAAACAGAAACAAAACATTTAAAAAGTATTATTACTTTTAAAATTTATTAGGAAAAAAAGCAAACAATAAGTTCATTCAAAGGTAAACACTAACTCAAAAAGCCTGAAACCGGGCTGGAGTTGTGGCTCAGTGATAGAGTGCTTGTCAGGCATGTGCAAGGCACTGGATTAGATTCTCAGCACCACATATAAATAAGTAAATAAAATAAAGGTCCATGAACAACTAAAAAACTTTTTTTAAAAAAGCCTGAAACCATGATAGTATTATTTTAATCTTGAATTTAAGCAGTACTTTTACCTTGTAAGAGTGTTGCAATCTGGAGAGATTTCTGAGATGGATGTTCTTTCAGAATATCTAAGACAGTTCTTCCTAAACTATCCTTTATGTTGGCATCAATTCCTGAAAGAAAAAGGAAAACCCACCAGATCTACATCAATAAAGGATCCTCACTATCGACGTAGAACTGCTATAATTTCAAACATATATAGACCAAGCACTGTAGATGATTTTAAACAAATTAAACACACACAAAGATTAAGCTACCAAAGATTAAGAACATTCTTGATAATGACTTAACTCTCAAAGGTCACTACCCCAATGCTTAAAACCGCTTTTCAGGGCCCTATAATTTCTTTGGGGTGATAGCTAGTTAACCAAATAGTACACTATCAAACTGAAAAATATTATTGATTTATAATGACAATTCCTAAAGTATAATTGGTCATGTGATTTATACTGTATCATATGGTGAAAATATTTAATAAATAATAAACATATACTATGTGAATATAAGGAGACTCTTATTCACAGAATTTTAAAAATATAATTATTTTGAACAATTGTCCAAATACTTTTTCTCCAATTACAAAGCCAAATACTCCCTGATACTTGTTTATGCTGGATTATGTTCAATGTCAGTCACATTTACCATTTAACTGAACAAACTTCTTGAACTGTATGACCAAAATACAGTAATTAAATATTTTAGTTCTGAAAATATTTATTATAATAAAAAATATATTTAATGTAGCAAATAGTTTGCAGTACCCCCCCAAAAAATTTATGAACTTTTCAAACACCAAACTGCAAACAAATTCATTGTAGGATCTGGTCCCAGATGTTAGTTCGTCATAAGATTATTAAGTATTTGCTTAAATGTGTGTTCAGATGTATGACCAGCACTTATTTAACTGAGTGTCTCAAATTATTTATTATATCACTACACTGCAGAATCAAACTTAACTATGCATGAAATGTTAACTTTGTACAAAAGCACATCACAGTACAATAGTTAGTCAATGTTTCTTATTTTATTTTTTTTACAGAGGAAAATAAACATGTGATAGTCTATAACATGAATGACTCACATTGATGATTAAATATGAATTTGTACTTTTTCAATTCTTAAAAATATCTGACCTCAATTCAAATTTTATTTCATCACAATCAGAATATACATATGAAGATTAAAAAGCCTACTGTGCTATTCCTTCAAAGCACTGCCTCTAAAAGGTTCCCTTTAAATGAAGTCACAGAACCAACAAACAATTGCTACTCAGTTGATGAAGTAACTAGAAGGAAAATTTACCTTAAGGAAAGGGAACTCAAATCTCTGTTTCCCATAGTTCACAAAAAAAAAAAAAAATCACTAAGAGAAATATGATGTTCAACAAACGAAGCAAATTATTATAATTTCTCAGGGACCAATACCTTCTTCTTACAGAAAACAGAGATCTCTGTGTTAATTTCTCTAGTACATTTAAATGCAACTTAAATCTATAAAATAATAATTTTCAAGAACTTTTTAATGGATGCATCTATTGAATAAAAAAGTACACATTTATATCAATTTTATCTAAACACCAGAGGATCAATTCTACATCTCTGCAATTTGAAGAAAAGAAGAAGAATCATGAATAAAAATGTCACTTTCCTTTGTCTATTCCTGAAATAGAGTATTTGGGAGGACAGGCTCTATGAACCATGATAGCTACCTGTTTCTAACAGAATTCGCACAACATCCACCTTTCCAAACAAAGCTGCTTCATGAAGGGCACTCCCCTTTTCTGTCTGAAAAAAAGAAATCACAGTTGCATTTAGAATGCTTAGACATTTTATTATTCTGTCATTTTATGTATTCATGCATATTTTCTATAATCTCAGCACTCCCTGACTGAAAGGTACTATGAAATAAAGAAGAATTACTAGAAACAAAATCCAAACACTTGAGTTTGGAAATTTCCTTATCACGTCTGACCTTGTTATGTTAAAAAGAAACTCACCTTCTCTAAACTCTATTGTATGCAAGTATAAAATAAAGGTAAGTAATGCTTATTGTACAAGGCTTTTGTGAGTATCCACTGAGTTCACTCAATCACCACGGATTTATTAAACACCAGTTACATACCAAGAACAGCTGAAGGATGTTCTTAAGTATGGAACAATCATCCTGGCCCTCTTATATCCACATTCCAAGAGACAGATGCATAAGTAAATATTTATGACATATGGAATCTAAACAATTAAAGTGACTTACAAAATCTGGATGATGATCTCCAAGCTTTCCTCACCAGCCTCTCCTGTACACTAAAACCCTCTCTCAAACCTCCTACTCTCTCCTCCTAGCATACTGAACTTAAGTATATTAGTGTCATTTTCTATTTTCTTCCCCAAAGGTCACAAATGCTGGTCCCTTCAACTGGCAGGATCTATCTCGTAACCCTCTTGATCTGGCCATCACCCAAACCACTAGCATGAATCTAGGGAGTTGGCACTGGAAAAAAGAATCTGCCAACTCATGTAAACCCCAGCCTATTTTTTAAGCAGTCACTCAAGGTGGGAGTATGAGTACAAGAGACAAAGTTTGAAGTTGAAGCAAGTTAGAAGGCTACAAAATCCTTGGTAAAAATAAAATTTTAAAGTTTTACAGACGGAAGATATAGGAGTATCTACCTAGGTCTTAGTTCTAAGTGAAAGAGAGGGAAAGAAATAAATGCCTGCTCCCTGAAAGAATTCCAAAACACGTTTCAATACTCACATAGTGAATGTGGGGCAAAAACACACAATTCCTATGATCCCCAGATTGTAAACCAAAATGTAGAATAACATGGTCTAAGATTTGTAGTTTCAATGGAAGATATAAATGCTTAGCAGAAGATATAAATCCTCTCTAAAAATATAAACTTTATTCTCAAGTCTCCAACAGATAAAACTCTAAGAAAAAAATTAAAAATTAGAAATCACTAAATTAAAAAGGAAACAAGCCATCGTCAGTAAGAATTAATAGAAACAAACAAAAAATAAAAATACCAAAGAACAAAACCCACAAAAACTTTACATACTAAAATGGTTAGCAACATAATATAAAATATATATAATCAATATGGTGAAAGAACTAGAAGATACAAAATATGACTAAAGAACAAGATAACAATCAAATTTGACCAGATGTGAAAATTAACCAAATAGTAATTCTATAAATTGAAAATATAACATTTATAACAGATTAGTTTAATAATAGACAAGATATAGCTCAAAAAAGGGGCTGAAATAGATTATATATTTTAAGTCTGTAGTGCAATATAAAATAAAAAGGGAAAGAAATGTGAAAAGATAGAATAAGAAGATCCAACATTTGTCTAAACAGGAAATGATAAAAATAATTAATAGTCAATGGCTAAGAACTTTCTATATTGATAGTTCACTAATAATTTCTAGTAATACTAAGAAAGATAAATTAATACAGCTCAGACATATCACAGTGAAACTGCAAAACACATCTCAGTAAAACTATAAAACACCTAAGATAAAGACAACATGTTAAAAACACTCCAAGAGAAAAAAATAATTGTCTAAAACGAAAATCAGACCTACAGCTGACTTCTCAATAAAGCCAAAAGAAATAATATCTTCCTGTGACAAGAGAAAATCACTGTCAATCTAGCATTCTACTTCCAGCCAAATTATCTTCCAAGAATGAGGGTAAAATAGCATTTTAACCACATTAAAAATGAGTTGTGGATATGGACGTTTACTAAAAGAATCTCTATGTGATATAAGTAAGGAAAAAGATTAGAAATACAAAAAGTAATGATGAGTAAAGGGAATAATTAACTTAAGACAAAGCCTAAACAAACTATTATAACAATAATGTCTATTTTTCACAATAATTTGGTTCCCCAGATACTTAGATACAGCCCAGTATGAAATGGAAAAAGTGAAATGTATTACTCTATACATTGACTCTCCACCATAAATTTAAATTTCTCTTTCTGGAAGAGGTAGATATAGAAGATCTCAATTCCAGTAGAAACTTGACTTTTAGATGCTAATCTTTAGAAAAATCACTTAATATTTCTGAAAAATCATAAATCCTATGAACTATTTACTATATTTTTGAGGATAGGGTTTTTTTTGGGGGGAGGGGTTCTGGGAATTGAACCCAGGGCCTTGAGCATGTGAGCAAGCATTCTACCAACTGGCTATATCCCCAGCCCTACTATTATTTTTTTTAAATTGCTATTTACTCCAAATAGTTTAAATATGTCAAACTTATGGATTTTTCAAAACAGATTAATTCCATAAAAATTACTGTGACTATTAAGGAAGCACAATTCCACATTTTAAAAGGCGTTTGTTATATTTTATTCAGAATTTTCAAGTGTTTAAAAATTGTTGTTAGGTTATCCATCCACCAGAATACCAAAAGAGCAGACAAAAATGGATGTGAAGATGTCAGAGCTTGGCTATACCAGTTCCCCTTCCAATTTTAACATTCCAACCATAACCCTCCTTGAAAAATGCAAAAGAGCATGGCCCAATAAAGAAATAAGAATTCATACCCCCCCCCAAAAAAGAAAGAACCATTCTTGATTATAGGAGAAAATATAGAGAGAATAATGATGACAAGATATAAAGTGTAATTGTAGTAATGATCAGTAGAGAAAATAGCACAAATAACATAAAAACTATGACAACCAAGACCAAATACTATTTTAATAATTAATAAGCAATTAATAAAGAAAATCTTCATGTAGATAAAGGAAGACAACTAGACTGGTATTTAACTTAGGAGTAAAAATCCCTGGTACCTTGGCTGGTACCAATTAGCCATTGTACCATCTCTTGGGAAAAAAGAACCAAAAGATAATAACATCCTAGTCTTTATAAACAAATATGATGTCTCAATGAGTTGGAAGGCAGCAGTTTTTATTTGGGGGATGTCCTGCATTGGCTAGACGACATCTAGAGCACTACATTTAATGTGGAAATTAAACTTTTACAGGACTATTAACATTCAAGAATGTATCCAGAGAAGAGTGTAAGAAATGAAAAGGACCTAGAAGAACACGTGAAGAACAGCTGATGGTAATAAGAATGTTTAGACTAGGGAAAATGGCACAAGAGAAATGTAACATGTCTTCAAATTCAAATATAACATTTCTCCCAAGCTTCTGTCTTTGCCTGTACTCTCTTCCTTCACTTCTCTCTCAAAGGAAGCATTTTTTTCTCCCCATTAAAACTAATCCTCCACTTGTGCTTTTATTCTCTGTTTCTTCTCAAAGTTTGCTCATCAAGTATCTTCACCATTTCTTTTTCATCTTCAATTTCAGTCTCTTCATTGCATCTTTCCATTCTCCATAAGCATATATACCTCTCCACTATCCAAAAACAAAAGAGACTTGCTATGACTTCAAGCTCCTATTCCATGTCTCAATTTTCTTTATACCATGTTTTATAGAGTCATCTTCCCTCTTGTGGCACAATTTTTGTCTAATTTTAATACTTCTATAACCTCTGACACATATTAATTAATGCCTGGCACATTGCAGGCTCTCAATAAATACATGGTCAATAGATGAACTGATGATATGAAATTACTGTCTTGGCATTCCTCTTCTAACTACTTTTTTTTACAGCTTTTTTTTTCCATTAACTCCCTACATATTCTTTACTCAGCTTCTTTTCTCTGTCTACATTCTCTTTCTAATATACCCATCTTTTCTGTTGTTTTGTCTCTCAATTCACTGGACCCAGCCCCTTAGGGGTTAGTTAGTATCATTCAAGTGGTATATTCAGAGAGAGGCCTCCCCTGGTCCTTAGCTCAATTACAAACAAATTGAAAATAAGCTGTTTCCTTCATTGTACTTAATGCCATTTGAAGTTGTTGTTTGTATGTGTGTATTTTCCATCATCCTTACTAGTCAATCAATCCCATGAGGGCAGGAAACAAATTTTCTTATTCACATAGAATAGTGCTTGATAACCTGGCCTGAGAAGACGGAAAGGATAAGGAGTCTTTATAGGGAAACCCATTTCAGTTGAAAGTGAAAGAAAGGGAGTTGCTGGGATGATGAGATAGGCCAGGGAAGTCCTCCCTTTTAAGGTAATATCTGAGCAACACCTGAAAAAAAAAAATAGTAGAAATCCTGTGGGTTGGTTAGTAAGGCAAAGGCCTGATATATGAGTACATACGTAGAGTGTTCCAACACAGTTAAGGCGACCACTGTGGCTAAAGCTAAGATTAAAAAAAAAAGGCAAAGAGAAGGAGAGGGTAGCTTTATATATATATATATAGAAAGTGGTACCTAGTCACACTAAGACAGTGTCAGCCACAGTAAAGACTCCAGGTTTTGCTCTGAGTGAAATGGAAAACCAGTGGAGTTTTTTGAGCAGAAAAGTGGAATAACAGACATAATTTAATGGAATCACTTCTCACTGCTATGTTGCAGACAGACTGAAGAGAATCTATTATGGACTGAACAACTGTGTCTCCCCCAAAAGTCACATATTAAACCCCTACCCCCCCCCCAGTGTGAATAGGTTTGAACACAGGGCCTTTACAGAAATAAAACAGTTAGGATTAAATTAGGTCACAAGGTTTGTGCCCTAATTCAATAGGACTGGTGTCCTTATATGAGGCGGAGGAGAAATCAGCAAATTCTCTCTCCGTTTGTATACAGAGGAAAGGACATATGAAAACACACCAAGAAGACAGATGATTTTTTTAAATTTGTTTTTAGATACACATGACACTACTGTATTTTGACATATTATATATACATAGGGTG